AAGTGGGAGGGGAGCTGTTGCATTATGGTAAACTGTGGTCAATGACATGAAACAAAGTATATGTGAACTGCTGTATGGAAAGTGAATTTGCTCTGTAAATCTTCACCCAAATAAAAAAAAAAAAAAATTTCAAGATCTGTTCTGCAATACAGTGCTGTCAGTGATAGGATAATATCCATATGCCTACAAGGAAGACCAGTTAATACTACTATTATTTAAATTTATGCACCAACCACTAAAGCCAAAGATGAAGTAACTGAAGATTTTTACCAACTTCTGTGGTCTGAAATTGACCAAACATGCAATCAAGATGTATTTATTACTGATGGTTGGAATGCAAAAGTTGGAAACAAAGAACAATCATTGGTGTTTGGAAAACATGGCCTTGGTGATAAAAATGATGCTGTATATTGCATGATAGAATTTTGCAAGACCAATGACTTATTCATTGCAAATACCTTTTTCAGCAACATAATACACAGGAATCAAATTGACTATATTTGTGGAAAGAGACAGTGGAAAAGGTCAATATCATTAATCACAACAAGGCCAGAGGTGAATATAGAACAGATCATCAACTGCTCTTAAGAAAGTTGAAGCTCAAGCTGAAGAAGATTAAAACACAAGAGCCAAAATATGACCTTGAGTATATCCCACCTGAATTTAGAAACCATGTGGAAAATAGATTTGATGCATTGAACAAATGACTGAAGACCAGACAAGTTGTGGGATGACATCAAGAACATCATACATGAAGGAAGCAAAAGGTCATTAAAAAGATGGGAAAGATATCAACCAACATGGCTTTGAGACCAGAAGAACCAGATGGTGCTCAGCTACCACCATCAATCCTCGGAAAGGGATCAGAATAGGAGATCCTGGATAGAGTGTGGAAAAAAATGTGAAACAAAACTCAAAATCATAGTAAAGACCAGGCTTACTGGTCTGATAGAGACTGGTGAAACCTCTGAGACTATGGCCCTGAGTTAGCCTTTGGGCCTGGAATTGAAATCACTCTTGTGGTTCCAACAAAACAATGTAATGGGAATATTTGCACCAGGTAACACTCCTTAGATCAACCAGGGGAGATCAGAAGGGCAGTATTTTTATAGGGAGATAGCTCAGAGAGAAGAGATGCATTAGAAAGAAGGACACAGGAAAAAGATAAACAGGGAGGAAGTGGGAAGAGAGCTGTTACGTTGTGGGAATTGCATTCAATGTCATGAAACAAAATGTGTACGAACTGTTGTGTGGAAAATGAATTTGCTCTGTAAACTTTCACCAAAATCACAAGAAAAAAAGATGGGAAAGAAAGGACCAAAACAAATGTTAGAAGAGACTCTGAAACTGGCTCTTGAATGGATAGTAGCTAAACTTCATCGAAGAAATTATGAAGTAAAAGATCTGAACAGAAGATTTCAAAGGGCAGCTTGAGAAGACAAAGTAAAGCATTATAATGTGCAAAGACCTGGAGTTGGAAAATCATGAGGGGAGAATATGCTCAGCATTTCTTAAGCTGAAAGAACTGAAGAAAGAATTCAAACCTCCAGTTGCAATATTGAAGGATTCTATAGGCAAAATGTTGAACAATGCAGGGAGCATCAAAAGAAGATGGAAGGCTGATCTTGCACAGACACCAGTGATACAAAATACCTGCAGTCCTTACAGAAACAATAGAAGACAGACACAGAGTAGTCCCTCACAAACAACCAGACACTATGGGAGAGATATCCAATAGATATACTGTCCCAGGACCAAAGAGACAGTACTGGGGGGGGGGCGGGGGGGACACCAGACTCAGTCGGCACCACAAAATACATAAAAGCGTTGCTCCACATCCTACATCGGTGAGTAGCGACTGGGGTCTTAAAAGCTTTCAAGTGGCCATCTAAGATGCAGGTAACGGTCTCCTAGTGCCGGAAGTGAAGAAGAACGCAAAAAAGGGCATTTAGAAGCAATCAGCCCTAGGACACAATGGCTCTCAAGACCAGAAGAACTGGATGGTGCCCGGCTACCAATGCCAACCACTCAGGAAAGGATCAAATCTGGAGATCCTGGATAGAGTTGGAGGGAAAGCATAGAACAAAATCCAAAAACTCAATAAAGACCAGAATTACTGGTCAGATGAAATCTGATGAGACTCCCAATACTATGGCCCTGGAATACAGTCTGCGCCTGAAATAAAACTCACCCCCAGGGGTGGTGGGCTTTCAGTCCAATAGTTAACAAGATGTACATGCAGACCACTCAACGCAGGATGACGCACCCACATACTCTATGGTAATACATCCCTTAGAGCAATAGACAACAACAACAGAGCAGTAG